TGTGCGAACAGTCGGGGCCGTGGAAAGAAAAATTCTATGAGAATTTCAAACCACTGTTTGACAGAAAAGGAGGATCAGTACATCATGTAGTAAATACAACGTTCAACTACCCTCTCTGCCCAATTCAGGAAAAGGGGAGGAGGATACCCATCCATGTGCAAGGAAAAGTTGAGAAGGAAATCGGAAAATTACTACTAGTAGGCCATATTCAGAAGTTAGAGAAGTGTACCAGTGATTGTTTCATAGCCCCTATGGTCATCACAGTGAAGAAAGATGATTCAATTAAATTGGCTCTGGATGCAAAGCCCATCAACAGACAATTATACAAAAACAAGTATCAGATGCCAAATGTGGAGGAGCTATTAGACGGTGTTAGTCAGATAGTAACTGCACAAACAGCAGGTACCTTGTTTATCACTGTGTTAGATTTGAAATATGCGTATAGTCAGTTAAAGTTGACTCCGCAAACTGCAAGACAGTGTAATTTCAACATCGTAGGGGGGAAAGCTACGGGCACATATATATGTCTTACGGGATTGTATGGGTTGGCAGATATGCCAGCCGAATTTCAGAAACCAATGGATCGAACGTTAAATAATTCCAAGAATACGTTTTGTTTCTTGGACGACATACTGATCGTCTCAAAGGGATCGGAGCTAGAACATGAAAAACTAATCACCGACGTTCTAATGAAGCTAGATAAGGAAAACTTATCCCTGAAGCTGTCGAAATGTGATTTTTTCAAAACAGAAGTAAATTGGCTTGGACAAAAGCTTTTAGAAAGTGGGGTTACCCTGAAAATTACAAAAACAGAGGCTATCCTTAAGTTAGAGCATCCAAAGTCGCTTAAACAAGTTAGATCCTTTCTAGGTAGTATTAATCACCTTTCGAAGTTTATACCAAATGCAGCCAATTTGACAGACAAGCTTAGACCATTATTGCGTGAGGAAAATGAAAAGAAAAAATTGAAAAATATTAAAATCCCAGTAAAAAAATTTGAATGGGGACCCGAACATACCGAGGTATTCGAAGAAATTAAACAAGCAGTAGCAAATATTGCTAAACTGAATTATTATGACCCAAATAGGGATACTCGGTTCAAGTGTGATGCAAGTCATAGTGGACTAGGGGCATCCTTAGAGCAACAAACAGAAAAGAACGAATGGATTCCAATTTCATTCGCATCGCGCTACCTGAATAATCAAGAAAAAAAGTATTCTACTAATGAGCTTGAATCGTTAGCAGTAGTGTGGGCATTTGATCGTTTCAAACATTACTTATTAGGAAAAGAATTCGTAATAGTCACTGATCATAAGGCATTAACATCTGCCTTAGAAGGCAACAGGTCTAACAAAACATATCAATCAAGATTAACGAGATGGGTAGACAGATTGCTGCCTTATCAATTCAAAATTGTCCATATTCCAGGAAAGGATATGGGGATAGTCGATTATCTATCTAGAGAACCAACCGGAGAACCTTGGCCAGAAACCAAATTGGATGAAAAATTTGTGGTCACTTTGATTGAGTGTTTTCATAGAGCACTCGACTGTTTATACAGTCGACTGAATGATACTGATGTAACAATTCAGAGTGAAAAAGTTCTAGAATATTCTCAAAAACAGAAAAGAGAAGACAATTTGCTAAAATCCAGGCGTGGTTGCCATAGCAACAAAACTGTCAAAAACCGAACAAAGCTCGACCGGAACGAGAACTGTGGCAATTCAAAATTTTTCCCTATTAATAACGTGTTGAATCAGAACGCTTTTGTCAATTTCAATAGAGCAGTTCAGTCGGTCAATTTAGTCAAAAACAGAAAAATAATCTCAGAAGAAATGGAGGACGGAAAAATGAAGAAAAAGACAGTGAGGATCGGAGACTGTAGGACACAGTAGGAGAGCGATAAGTTAACGGAAGCAGAAATAACCGAGACTACCTTCCATCGAACGTGTCGGATAAGAAGAGGAACACTAGAAAGAGCGGGGTCAGACAGCTTTGAGGAAGACAGCTGTGCTGCACGACCAGTAATATGGGATCAAGACAAGGAAGAAACAAAAAAACTTGCTATCCATTTGGGATCTGGTCAGCAAAGATCAAGAGATGCCGAGAAACATCAAAGAGCTAGAGGCGATCACTCAAATGGTCACGAGCAGCCCAAGAGATTCACCAACTAAATTAATCATTGAAGTGGATCTAACAGCGGAGGACGACGATCTGGGAAAGAAGTTAGCGAAGTTCAACCCTCGAGAAGGATTAACAAACGGCAAACGCAGTTGGAAAGCTCAGCGGCAGACATGGGAGACGTCGAGAGTTTCAGTTTATTGAAACTGTTCGATAAAACGCTGTTGGCTGAACTCATTTCGGAGGATGTGTGGATGGACCGATTACGTCGCGTAATAGAGAGGAAGGATCGGGCAGGATTTGAACTTATGGGCCCATACACGAATCCGCTGTGGAATCAACTCTCAGTAACCGATGACTGCATTCTGGTAGACAATAGGATAGCAGTACCAGTTCAACTGCGTCAAGCAGTTATGAAGCGCATTCATAGAGGACATCCGGGGCAAGAGGCAATGATTGACGTGTCCAACTATTTGTGGTGGCCCCACATGCACAAGGATATCGTGAACCTAGCGGAGGAATGTAGAGAATGTACACGTTATGGTAAGAATGCAAAATATATTTTACCAAAAAATTCTTCACAACCACTGCCACTGCTATCGCAATCAGGGCAGGAGGTTCAGTTAGATTACGCGGGAACTTTAGAAGACTATAAAGGAAAGAAAATCTACCTGCTGACAGCGATTTATCGGTTTTCGAAGTTTCCTTCGGTGAAAGTAACAAAATCAACGGTGGAAAAATCCACTATAAAATTTCTAAGGTCGTACATAGATACACACGGTATCCCAGAATCGATAAAAACCGACCATCTTTCCGGATTCAAAGGAACAGCCATGAAAAAATTATGTCTCGAAAATAATATAGAACAAAAGTTCTGTCCGGTGGGCGACCATCGCGGGTGTGGTTTAGTCGAGAGAACAATTCAAACCATAAAAAGGCGTTTGGGGGTGATGCTACTCGAAGAAAATGTAAAATCAATTAAACTATGTCTCAGTATGATCATTAGGGACATGCGGTGGATAAAACAGAAAACCATACAGAAATCACCGTTTGAAGGCAGAAAAGCAGGGATGTCAGTCCCCTCTTCAAACAGGCCAGTATGTCGACACAGGAGAGAAACAGAGCAAGAACTCTGCGGAACCTGTTAGAGGCTAAAAAGTGGGGCGGCACTGACAAAACCGTTCAAGGGGAAGGTTGCTTTCGATTCACCAAAAACAGTGACAACAGCTGCAGGAGCAGTATACCGGAAAAGTGATCTGGTAAAGTTACTAGGTTCCCTTACGAAGACACCCAAGGAAGGGACAAACCAAAAGGAGAAGGCGAAAAGTCCATTAGAGGAGCCAAAGAGCAAACACCAGAAGAAAGATGACGAGCTATTGGAGGACACGATATCGGAAGAGGAGGACTGGAATATACCGCGGGAACAGGCAAAAGACCTGTTTCAAGATAGCGAGACTGTCGTAACATCGCGGGACACACCTGTTGGTGGGGGACTCAACCTAGCAATAAGCGAGCAAAGCCGAATCTCGGGGGTCCAAAGACAGTGGGACCGAAAATGCAAGAGCAGGTGGCGCTAAACCCGGTAGGGGAATCGCGGGATAAAAGAGATCAAACGCTTAAACCCAAAAGTAAAGAAAAAAAGAAAGCTACTGTAACAGCAGAAGAAGTCACTGATCCAAAACAATCAGATGTGGATCAAGCTGATCGTGCAGGCAGTGCGGGCACCAAAAGTGGACACTCTAGGAAGCGCATAACAAGGGACACGTCACCTAGCTCAATCTAGAATGCGTTCCAAAAACAAGATATGGGAGACGAAGAATGGCAAAGCCTCGCCAATCAAGTGTTGACTAGAGGTCTGCAAAGAACGGCGGACGAAATTATTAAATCCAGAATGGAAAATCAAACAGAAACGACAGGCGAACACGGATCTCCGCCAGGAATTTCGGACGACTCAGTCGTAGACGATCAAGGAAGTGCGAGCGTCAGGCGTAGTAAGCGAACCACGAAAAACCAGGGGCCAAAAAGACTGGGCAGCCCAGTCAAACATTCGGTTATATACATTAGCGCGGACGAAGATGCAGACATTAATGAAATGGCCCTAGAGCAGTACCGATCCGGACTGGCGAATGTCAAAACGGACAAGAACAATCCGATGGAAACCCGACTGAAGGTTCTAGAACGCCATTTATTTCGGAAGAAGTTTGGTTATGCCGCTCTGGATACGACACAACCATGGAGCACGCAGTGGAAAGTGTCGTTAGAAATTAAGAAAAAAGAAATGGAAAAGAAAAACTTATAGTTAAAACTCAAAAGAGAACATTCATGCATCAATGGTACCACAAAAACTGAGCTGAAAACTCGTAGTATTGTTATTTATAAAACTTTATATGCATTAGATAAAATTTTATTGGTCCCTGGGGGAATGTGATATTGCAGCATCCGCAGTGCATAACCTTGAGGACAGTTTGCTAGCTACTGCATCTGCAGTAACCATATGTGCTAACTATATCCATTATGCTATTATTATATAAGAGTGGTCAAGGCCATTTGGTGTTGCTAAAACGTTATAGATGAATTGGTCAGTGTTTCATATCTCATGCTATAAAACAGTAACCAATCTCAGTCACTAACTTCATTAACAAGAAACGATATCAAGAACAGTAAATTAACACTATCTTTTCTTACTTTTATTCCTCAACACGCTAAGCAGTTTAGGAACATCACACGGGTATTCAGCTAAGGCACACATATCAAACTAAATCATTCATTGTAAACAAAAGCACATAATATTGACCCAAAGAGTGATGTTGTCATCCATAAAACAAAGTTGGCGTTGGTTATCAATTTGAACTTCATGTTTTGTGGACGCTTTCAGGCCATGATGTGTTTCTTCTGTTTTCTATCACTACACTATTTGCGATCTAACGATAAACTACCATTCAACACAAATAGTTCAAACATTTCAAACGTCTGTTGCAAAATAGAGCGTCCAAAGTTTCAACTTGGTTGACCAAAATAGAGCTGAGGAAAATCTATCTGTCATTGGTTTTGAAAATTCATGTTATCAAATGTGATCGTTTGACATGGCGGGTTTAGCGTCTGCTCTTGCCACTTACTGCGTTAACACATCCTATAAAGCAATCTCAGATGTCCGTGGTTAGAAAAACTTTTTTTTATTCTTCTCAAATTGAATCTTTCCTCATACTGTTAAAATCAAGCTAGTAAACTTTATAAAAACAAGTTTTCGAAACAACAAAAATGCTTCCATGCACAATTTCAGCGTCTTAAACACAAAAAGAGCGACTTTTCGAATCACTTCTGCATACTTTCCTCCTTGATTCTGAATTTTCTCGATTTTAATTTAATCTGAGTCTCAAAATTTCTTTCGAATCGTTGGATTTACTACCCTTGTTTTTTTGTTCATTTCGTAATTTTTTTCAGTTTCCATTGAGAACCCTGATTGTGGGTGTGAGCGTAAATGTATCCGTAAACTGGGCAAAGCGGAGTTGGGTATGTACTACTATTCCGAGTTCTCAGACGGAACCATAGGCTGTGTGGTCAGACTCAGCTCACAGCAGGACTTGAAGGTAATCTTTTAAAAACCTTCTTTATAATGTTCATTTTCAAAATGGGTGAGTTTTGGCTTAGTTATATCATCCAGGTAAAAACAAAGGATAAATAACTCTTTGGATGATTCCATGGCTATAGGAGCTTCCAGTAGCTAAACAGGATTATTAACTTTTTTTTCAAACTTGATAATCTTTTTTGGCACTTGTAGCAAAAACTGAACTATGCGCAAACTATCAAAACTTTTCTTTGAAGAACAGTGCCTGGCGCACCAAGTTCGCTGATGTCATCCAGTCGTACCCTATTCTGAATATGGGCATTGGACCCTGTGAAACTTCTTCTGCTGCAGTTACTGAGAACATGAAAGATGAGACGTTGTATTTCAAGGTTAGTGCAAAAGTTCTGATTTTTAAATTTGTTTTTGATACACAATCAGAAACTTGCGCAAAATGGAGAAAAACTTGATCGATGTTTTTCAAATTTAAAAAGCGCATGACAGGGATTTCACGGGCTCTTTATGATAACTAGGCATAATTCCATCTTATAATGCTAAGAAATTAAAACCATCTCATAGCAAAACTAACAATTGAGAAAAAAATATCTTTAGTTAGTACAAGATCAGCTCGAATAATATTAGTAGTTTGGAGATTCAGTGGCAAAAAGTTGTCGAGATTTCTGTCAAGCTTTCGCTGACTTAAAAACTTTTACCTTCTCTAACTTTTGTCGGATCAAGTTACAATCCTGCCCCCGCCGCCGCCCATTTGCTGAAACTTCCTAACTTAGAACCAAGTTAACATCCTCCCCCTCAAACATGTTTTCTTGGTTTCATTCAAAACTTCTTTCAGCAACTGAGTACACCAGAAGTGTTGAAGCAGCTGATCAGATTCCACAGGGACAAACACTCTTTCCCCTCCATTACAGAACTACTGCACCACTCGTTCAGCCGACAGACCAGACAGCCGAACACAGTTGCTGCCAATAGCAACTCCAGTTCGTCCTGTCGCAGTAGTGTGTTGTGGAGAGTGCATGTATTACATGAGTATGACTCTGATAGAAATATGCACTACTACACTCTGGGTAATTTTCCGAGAAAAAGTTGATAATATTTGAAAAAACCAACTTGCAGAAACTAGGCCTGTTGTTATATCGTAAAATTATCGTAATATTATTAATAACAGAAAAAAGATGTAGAAAGATTTTTTGTTTTAGGCTCCCAGAACTGCAAAATTCAGCGTTTGATTTTTAAAATCTATATTTGAGCCTTAACGTTTCATTTTACAATTTTTTTAAATCCATTTTGGACCAAAGTTTAGAATTTTCAGTTCTGCAAAACTCTCTCTAAGATAAAATCGCCGACGCCAAAGTGAGAAAAAATCTTAAAAACTTTCTCGATTTTGAGGCGATAAATTCAGAAAAACATCCTTCAATTTTTTTGGACAAAAGTAATGACAATGCATTGACGTTGCAGGTATCTGCTTCAGCCATTGCATAGTGGATGGGACTTCGACTGCCATTCTGCTGCAACATCTTCTGGCCTCCCTTAATGGAAACATATCTAGCATCTCATCCTCATCATCCATACCACCACGTTAGACACAATTCAAGATATTACTAGTCACGAATGTGGTCGATATTGAACTAACATTTAGACAGTGGAACCCAAAGCCGAGAAAATTATGGTTATTAATTTTTTCGTTTGATCATTTTTGGTGTGATTTTAAACGTGGACAAGTTTTTAATAATTGATTTTCTGCCAAAACATTTTTTTAACCAAAAAAAAAACATTTTTTTTCGATAAATTTTTTTTTTAAAAGCCATTAATTTGATTCCATACAGGGTCGGATCTAGAAATTTTTCATGGGGGCGGTTTTTCAAAATATTCTCTTAAGTTTTGCCGACAATTTTTTTTAGGTCGACCTGATTGGTTTTCCCAACGCTCGCGGCACACTATAAAGACTCTATTTTGAGCGCCGCACGCTAATTTTTGAAGAAAAAAAAACAGTTCAAAATGCCGTTTTTAGGACGTTTTTAAAAACGGTGACCAAAAAATTGAGTTTTTTCTTCGCCCGCCTTTTTCAAAACTAGTATATATTGGCGCCAAAGACGCCTTCAAAAATTTCAGAGTTTGAAATATTTTAATCGGCTGAAAATGGATGTCATAAAATAATACCAAAGTATGTCCCTTTGGTTGGCGAGGGCGTTGAATCTCTGAGAAAAGGAAAGCGTCCGCCCCAATGCGCCCCTGATTTGATAGTTGATACATTGTTCGTTTAATTTATTAAGTCTTTTGAATAACCACAAGAACTCGAATCAGAGAGATTAGCATTTTTCTGCGCAATTTTGAATTTGAATTGATCTAATTGATCTGATTATCTTGTGCATACAAATAACTCTCTCATATACCTCATTCAACTGGTTACCTTATGAAGTTTTTATTGAGGGTTTATAAATATTGCATTATTAAAAGTCTATTTTAGCTATCGAGAAGCAAGTGGCCTTCACGTACTTGCCATGGCCAGTTGAGCAGATATCAGATGTGGCTATAAAAGCCATAATCAGGACACGCCTCAAACCATGGACATACATCGGGTCCATGAGGAAATACCTCAAAGCATTCCCGCCTCCCATCATTCCCGAAGAAGGCAAGTTTCTCTTCATAATTTAAATTTTACGGATTTTGAGTCTTAGTAAAGTACTATTTTTGCTACTTTGGTTTGCTGTTGAATGTAATGCCAGTTTTCTAAATGTGGTAGAAATTTTAAAAGAGGCCATACGAAAACTCGAGGACAGCATTGTCTCGAAATGTTCGTTTGGGACACTAACATCAAAACATTCAGCACTACTTTGACTCCTAAACTTCAGGATAGAAATTGAATTCTCTTGAAAATTTTCTCTATCAATAGTTACCAAGTATAACATTTTTAAAATTGATTTTACATATTTATTTTTTCTACCTTTTCAATTCTTGATTCATGGCAGTTTAACTTTTAATTCAATTTTCTAAATCCAAAATCGCCATTCACCCAAAAATCCCCACCCCCCCTTTCCCAAACCTTCAAATGGGGCTAATGCTTGATCATGACGAGCGAGTTAACAATGGATTCCATTGGTTGAACTTGCAATCAACTCAACCATTACCCCCCGTTCAACCATGAACTGCGCCCTAAAAAAACTTAAGTGGGTTAGGTAAAGTTGATGTAGGGGCGGGGGTTGGTAAGCTGTGGTGTTGCAAATTTAGATACGAACGCGATTATATTGTCATTATAATCGACTATTTCTGGAAAAATCAAAAAATTCCATAATAGCAGATCATAGTGGATTATAATTTCTGTACTTTTTTGCAAAATTATTGCAAAACTTTTAACAATTTCTGCTATACTCACGGCGGTGGCCAGTCAAAAAGCAGAATGGTCTAAGAGCGGAATGGGTCCAAGAGCAGAAAAACAGAAAAATATCAACTTCTATAAGCTAATCGGCAAATTAGTTATCAGAAACGTCAATAATAGCAAAGCAATGAACATTTCATGCATAATTTGAGCAATTTAATCAAGAATTTTTTAAAAAATTTAATCAAAAAACTTAATGACATTAGTCAATTCATGCAAAATTTATTCGTGTTCTTGTTTTTTCTTTTGACGATTCTAATAATTGTTTTATCAATTAGCCCGTATAAAACAATACAAGTCAATATTTTTCAATTTTTCTGCTCTTGGACCCATTCTGCACTTGGACCATTCTGCTTATTGCTCCGCCTCCACTCACGGCCTACTCGATTCCTGAACCTACACAGTTTTTTAACGCCTAGTTAATCCCCTACCCCGCATTTTCTCCGTACAGGTGTACCCTCAACCCCCCATAGTTGACCCCCCATCATAACTAAGCCCCCACCCAGTTTAGAACCCCCTCCACCAATTTACCGTCCATGTCTACCCACCAGTTTACCCTCCCCCATTTCCCCTGCTCATCCCCCCCAAAGTCAACCCCAGCAAGGATGTTTAAAATTTCTCTATCAATAGTTAGCAAGTATAACATTTTTAAAATTGATTTAACATATTTATTTTTTCTACCTTTTCAATTCTTGATTCATGGCAGTTTAACTTTTAATACAATTTTCTAGATCGAAAATCGCCATTCACCCAAAAATCCCCACCCCCCTTTCCCAAACCTTCAAATGGGGCTAATGCTTGATCATGACGAGCGAGTCAACGGTGGATTCCATTGGTTGAACTTGCAATCAACTCAACCATTACCCCCCGTTCAACCATGAACTGCGCCCTAAAAAAACTTAAATGGGTTAGGTAAAGTTGATGTAGGGGCGGGGGTTGGTAGGCTGTGGTGTTTCAAACTTAGATACAAACTCGATTATATTGTCATTATAATCGACTATTTCTGGAAAAATCAACAAATTCCATTATAGCAGATCATAGTGGATTATAATTTCTTTACTTTATTGCAAAATTAATGCAAAACTTTTAACAACTTCTGCTATACTCACGGCGGTGGCCAGTCAATAAGCAGAATGGTCTAAGAGCAGAATGGGTCCAAGAGGTGAAAAACAGAAAAATATCAACTTCTTTAAGCTAATCGGCAAATTAGTTATCAGAAACGTCAATAATAGCAAAGCAATGAACATTTCATGCATAATTTGAGCAATTTAATCAAGAATTTTTTAAAAAATTTAACCAAAAACTTAATGACATTAGTCAATTCATGCAAATTTTATTCGTGTTCTTGTTTTTTCTTTTGACGATTCTAATAATCGTTTTATCAATTAGCCCGTATAAAACAATACAAGTCAATATTTTTCTGTTTTTCTGCTCTTGGACCCATTCTGCACTTGGACCATTCTGCTTATTGCTCCGCCTCCACTCACGGCCTACTCGATTCCTGAACCTACACAGTTTTTTAACGCCTAGTTAATCCCCTACCCCGCATTTTCTCCGTACAGGTGCACCCTCAACCCCCCATAGTTGCCCCCCATTCTAACTAAACCCCCCATACAGTCATACAGTTTGCAACCCCCTCCACCAATTTACCGTCCATGTCTACCCACCAGTTTACCCTCCCCCCATTTCCCCTCCTCATCCCCCCCCCAAGTTAACCCCAGCAAGGAGGTTTATGCGAGGGAGGGTGGGGGACGGGTGTATACTGTGGAGTCGACAAAGGGAGGTAATTTGGATTCGGGGAAAATAAAGACCAGCAAAAAACGACACAATAACAATTCATAAGAAAAATTGTGAAACAAAAATTTGAAAACACGATAAGCATCAAGCCAAAAAAAACTGTTAAGCTTGGAATATGCTGCACTTTATTTGAAGTTTTCCGAAAAATGTACAAAAAATGGTTTATAATCAGGGGCGGATCCAGGATTTTCTCGAGGGGATGGGTGGAGTTTCAATTTTAGGTCGTCCAAGTTGATTCTCATTTTTTATAGGTCTTCCAAATTGATTCTCCTAGTTCTCCCAATGCACTAAAAAGACCCCGTTTTGGCCAATTTTTTTTGCGCCGCAGGCATAAATGGGAAAAACAGGCCGAAAAAGGCGTTTTTGGGCATTTTTTTGAAAATTTTCACCCAATTTTGTTGACATTGTTTTTGTTGACATTGTTGACATAGTATACATTGGCATCGAAAACGCCTTTAGAAAAATTCTGGGTTCCGTCAGCCAAAAATGGATATCTCAAAATAGTTCAAAGGGTCAAATCCTCCAACCCCCCCCCCCCTCCCTAATTCCGCCCCTGATTATAGTTCTTTATTATTGATTATAATCAATTATAATTCATTATATTTGATTAAGGAGGATTTTATTGTAGGACAAAAAATAAAGTATAAGCCATTTTTAATCAATTATAATATATTTTTTGAAATTTTATAGAGACTGCAAGGAAAAACAGTATAACCGATTATTATCCATGAAACTCCAGTACGGTATTATGGTGAATTATTATTATTTTTTTAAAAATCGATTAAAATGACAATATAATCGATTTTGTAGTCAGCATTTTTATATCTGTAACGGTTTATAATGAATTATTTTAGTCTCAGAAATCATTATGATCGATTAAAATCCATATTCGCTCGGTGTTCGGATAAAATATATCTTAACTTCAATAGGTGCTGAGGATGATACTCATGAGGAGAATGGTGCGGTGAGCAGTGGGGGCGTCTCTTCTTTTCAGACTTCCTCCCACCCAAGTTCCCAGTCCTCGGTGTGTGCTCTACCTGAGTTGGAGAAACGAGAAACAGTAGTCAAGTAAGCGCCGACGAACAATTAAGATTAAAGCTGATACAATTGGCTTTCGTTTCGAAAGTTTTAGAAGCTCTTTCAAAGATCCTTGTTGTCGCAGTAGCATTATCCAATGTTCCTTCCCATCTATCTCGACGCCCAAAAACATATCAAAAATGAAGATTTTGCCGAAATAATTCAAGATTTTGACGAGATAGCATTGCACTTGCCAAGATCTTGACAAAGATATTTATGTCAGTGGTTTCTATAGTTTGAACGCTAACTTAAAATATGAGAACCCTTTAACAGAACACTTTTAATTGTAACCAAATTCAATTTGCTGTATTCATCTCAATTTTTGTTTCGTAGGGTACTGAAGTTGTCGCAGAAGGAGACTGCGTACTTCCTGCGAAGGTGCAAACAGCAGAGTTGTTCAGTCACTGCCGCACTTTTAACTGCAGCCAGTCTGGCCATGTCCAGCCTCGTCCAGGGTAAGAGAAGAGTCCAATCTCAAAGCCAGATTTGGTTTTATTTGTACATTCCATGTCAAACTAAATTTTGCTTTAAAACCAATTCAGTTGGGCTTCGATCGGTATTGAAAAACAAAGGATTTTCCCAGTTTGTAGAAATTTTGTCGGATGTTTTTGACATGACTATTTTCAGCGATTGAATGGCTAGCGTTCGGTTAATAAATTCAATGACAACAAAAACAAGGATAGCCGGTTACTGTGCAAGTAGCACAGAATGTTCCGATTTAGAAAGTTTATTTTTCCAAATTAGTGTAGTTTTTTCTCCTTGGTGAGATAAAAGAATCTTTTATAAAAATATAATTGAGGCATATTATACAATAATAGTAATATTAGTAATTTAGAAAAATGACTCGAAAAACTAAAAAATTTAATAGTAAACTATTGCTTTTTTTTTAAAGTTTTTGGTCCAAAAATGAAGCTACGAAACTCCAAAAACTAGTTTTTTTTGCGTAAAATTAAGTTTTAAGGTCTTAAACTAGGCATAATCCAGCTGTCGTAAGTCTGCTCGCTTGCTTCATTCGCTCGATTTAAGACGACAAATCAAAAAAGTTCAAAACGGTTTTTTTCGACACTGGGATTTTTTTTTGGAAACTTGAAAGGGCTTTAATATCATATAGCATTCGACCCAGACCAATCATTATTTGTGGTACCTGAAAAAGATCATATAATTTAGCTTGAAATATAGATGGATTCCTCAAATTTAGCTTGAAATAATTTAATTTCTAAGCAGGTTGTAATAATGTAGTTTCAGCGTGAAACCAGCCTAATTTGAGAATATAGCATTTTTTTATTTCAAGTTTGATTTGTTTTTTCCCAATACTTTAAGCCAGCACTGTATGTATGTTGCGTACTAAATGTGTGTAACATATTCGCCAAAATGGCAATTTTCAAACCCCAATAATTTTTCAAATTTTAACAAAGGCAGAAGTTTTCTTCATTTGAGCTACGAGACAACAATAATTTTCTGGTTGTATAAAAAACGTCTGTCGAAAACCTATACTTATCAAGTCAAAAATTGATTGAATAAAAACCATCCCAATTATATGTTTTCGTTTTTTCTAACTTAAATCAGCACTGTTTGTTTATCAAGTATTGATAATTTTTCACATATTGACTCAAAAAAGATCACAGGCAAAGTTTTTCCTCATTTGAGCTACGGACAACAAAAAATGCCTGATTGTATAAAAAGCGTCTGCCGAAAACCTATACTTAAAAAATCAAAACATGACTGAAAAAAACATGCCTGTAATGCCTTATTAATTGCACTTTTTTGGAACAAAAACTAAAAATTACCCGTATACAACTAACAAAACTGTTTTCTATCCTTGTACACATGTAAGACAATAGATTTTTTTCTGCAATTTTTCAGGCCAATATTTTCTAAGATTGTAAACCAAGGTGACTCCCTGATTTTTTTTTTCATTTTATCCACCCACAGCTATGTTAAGTGATTAGGGAATTATTTAGCACCTCTTATACTAATTATCAGACCAAATCAATCGTCTAAATTTGTTACACGGCTTTCAATTGTTATGGGAACGCAATGAATCGTGGGTTAACTAGTCGAGTGATGTCCACAAATGGCAAATTAGTATTTTTCAAACGGCAATAACTTGAAAGGAAGACATACAGGTACTTTGTCTCTCAACAAAGTATCTTTTGTCTTTTTATATTATGGCCGTTCGAAAGTTGATAATTTGGCTATTTTTAGACATTTTTCCCGCGGTACATTGCGATCTCATAACAGTTGAAAGCGGTGTCTTAAAAATAGGCGAGTCATTTGGTCTGATAGTTAGTATACATCAGTTTTTGTTCCGAAGAAATTACAAAAACTTATGCTTGGGATGGTGAACAACAAAAAATCCAGTGCATACGGTAAAAAATTCTACGCAAAAAATTTTTTGCCTAACATTTAAGAAAAATTAAGACAACAAAATGGGGCTAAAAAGTTACAAGTCCAATTTTTTAGCAAAAAAAGCAATATACTATAAATTATTTGAGATCCATAATATTGTGTTTTATATTAAGTAAAAAAAAACATTAAAATGGATTTTTTTCACATTTTTTGTGTTGAGTCGTGCAAAATTTTGCAAGAATTTCAGCAATTATCATGCGGCAACTGTGCAAAGCGAGTGTACGGCATACTCCATTTCTAAACTTAAACTCAAATTGCTAACAGATTCCGTTAAACTCTCACCTCTAACTTCGACCCTTTGCTTCCTTACAACCTCCATCCCAACGTTTGCACCCTTTGCTCCCCTTCCCACTTGAACCACCAACCCACACCCCTTGCCCCCACCGAACCTTTAACACCCTCCCCACAACCCATCTGAACACACCCCCCCCCCCCCCGCTGCACTTGAACCAACTCCCCTACACCTGAATTAACTCCCCCCCCCCACCCATCACCTGAACCGCCAACCCCCAACCCCGCATCTGAGACACCCCTCTTCACACCTGAACCATATCGAACCCCCCACCTGATCCGGTTCAAGCAGGGTGGGTGTGGGAGGTTGGTATAGTTGGGGTCCATGAGGGGGAGGAGGGTTGATGTTGATTCAGTTGGGGAGGGGGGGGGGGGGGGGTGGTTCAATTGGGGGGATGGCTCAATTGGGGGGATGGCGGGAGTAAGGTTACAAAGGGTACAAACGCTAGGTTGGGGGGGGGGGGGGGGTTAATGGATTGATGGAAGACGGGATCAGTCCACTTCCTATTTTACCCCCTCCCCCTCCCCGCCCTAAAGTTCGAATAGTTTAGGAAAACTGCTAAAAGAAACAAAATTCAGTGATTAGATAACATAAAAAAGTCATAAAAATATCAAAAATGCGCAGAATCTTCAGTTTAAATTGTAGAAAAAACTTTATACGCGTTGAAATTTGCATCTCAAAAAAAAATAAAAATCGATCATAATTTAGTTTCGTTGTCAGTGTCCACAAAAATGAAATAAAATCCATTTTAATGGATTAGTAATGGATTTTAAACCTCGAAAAATAGTAATATAATAATTCAATTTTAAATGATTATAATCATTTTTTTTAAACTTTAGTGGAAACTTACAATGAAACTTAATTAAAGTCGATTCTTATTCAAGGAATTCACTTCGGGATAAAAGGATTTCTCGGTTCTTCAAACTGCAGTTGATTTATCGTTAGACTTCACTCGGCTATATTTCGGGTTTAGTTAACTTACAGTTTGTTTGAGGTCAACTATGGTCTCTATCATGCTCCAACTATGCTTCAAATGCGCTCGACATATGCTTCGGCTCTCTCGGCCAGAATCGACTGTGTTTCGACTTTGTGCTCGATTTAAAATAGCTTCTCGAAGCAGACTTAAGTCGCAAAAATTAAAAAATGTGAAAAATTACATATCAAAAAAGGATATGACATGTCATAGATAGTGGTTACTTTTAATAAGAATTCAAAAGAATGATTACCGAAATTTAACGCTGTTTTCTGATCTCTCAACAGTCTTCTAAGATATATTGTGGCTCATGTGATTCTCACGCATTTTCACGCACTTTCCAGGCGGCAACTTAGTCCAGAATGTTGAAATCCTCACCGATGTCACAGTGGATTTAAGGAAATACATGGTGAGGGAAGCCAGTAGAAAGGGGACGGGGGACAAGGAGGCGGAGGAGTTTGCGAGACAAGTGTTCTGTGCCACACCCCTCGCAACAATCACTGTCAAGAGCAGTCTTGGCAAGATCAATAACAAGGGTCAGCATAACAATACATATTCACCTTTTTGCAAAAGAGTAGAAGTATAACATAAAATTGCGTCTTCAACCCTAGCTTAGATCAGAGTGCGGAACGATTTCTCAAAATTTTCCAAAAATTCATCGACATTTTTTACGTCAAGTAAATTGACCTAAGCATTTTAAAGAATAGTCAAACATTTATCTTAAGCAACGCTTTTTCCAATTTTTTTTTTTGAAATGAGAAAACGACTATTGGCGTTTTTGTTTCAGCTCTTTTCAAAAATTTCTGGTTCAAAGCTCGTCTCGCATCTCTCAGTATTGAATCACGAATGAAGTCTGGCGAAGTTTTGCGCAGTTGGAACCTCAGACAAAAACTGTTCTGCGACCGAGATTCCGCTTCCACTCTAATGCGAATGGCCTTGAACGACGCCGAGGGCTTTGGGCGGTACCACCATTTACTTCTTACCAACCTCGGTAACGTCGACATAAGTACATGTTCGAATCCCAGCTCTGGCGGAGTTTGCTTAGAAGATATTCAGTTCGGAGTTTCCGGAACAGTGTTGGGAAACATTTTTATGAATTATGTGGCTACAATTAATGGCCAGTTGATTTGGAATATGTGCTATTTTGATCACATAACTCACCATACGGACGCTGAGACTTTCATTAGCTTAGTCAGAGACACAATTGTACGGTTTGCCATTGCTCCTTTAAAGTAACTGTAATTCTTATGAATTCTTACCAATAGCTTATGAAATGTAAAAAAAATAAGGTAATTTTTGAAAAACATTCATAAAATTGTTTAATAAATATTCTTTTTTAATTTCTTGTATTGGTCAAATAGGTCCTATTTTTACTTGAAAACGATCTTAAAACCATAAATTGTGTAACATAAACACTAATTATAAACTTGTTTGGATGTACTCTGCCCATAAAAAACCTAATCCACTGATCATTTGAAAAAAAATCCAAGCAAATCGATACCTATCAAGGATAGCCGGATGCTGTGCAAGTGACACACAATGTTCTATTCATTTTCAATAAAAAAATAATTTTCTTCAAATAAGTGTCGTTATCAGTGGGTGGTTTGATTCGATAACTATACGATCGCGCAAAAATTTAGTAAGCTAGACATGATCGACAACATTTCTATTTTTATTGTAAAATCAAGTTTGTTAATCTAAAAATCTAAATTCGAGCGAGTAACACGATCGAGTAATGCTCGTTATATGGAAATTTGCTGCTTTTGTTAGATTAAATCTTAAAATATTAAATCAATTTTTCTCAAAAATGGGAAATCTTTTTTAATTTTTTTTTAATGTTGTTCGAATCACCTGTGACAGGGCTTTGATATGTAATATTTTGCGGCCCATTCCGTTGATTAATTTTGATGCCTGATTTGCATGGAAATTAAAAAAAAGATTTACTATGCAAATTGCCTCCCCATTTTCAATGGTCGGAACTAAAAAATCAAATTAAAATTTTTCACCTAAAATATCGCTGCAATCGGAATTTTTGCAAATCATTGTTTTTTTCACTTTGAACTTTTTAAAATTTTTTGTTCCGATTTATGTCGTTATTTGTATTCAAAAATTTCTTTTTTCATTGGCCTTGTAAAGATTGAGTTGCTTTTTTATGATGAATTGAGACGCGATAATTGATTTTAATCAAAGAAAAAGAGATACAAAACTTCCCTTTTAAAACTAAATTGAGCAATTGGGGTTAAAAAAAGGAACAAATCTTGAAATTTTTCTTGATTAAAACATCAATTTGTAAACTAATAATTTCTATCGATACAGAAGGGCATTTTAAGCCGTCAGGGTTCCACCCTGCTGTGAGCAGATCTATTTTACTTCGTCAATTTTTGTCGAGATACTTGTAAGCCTCAAGGTTATCCATCAGAAATGTAGCTCTTGTAAACTTCAAGTCAATTAAAAGACTTCTGTTGCACTTCTGTTAAAACGTTTATCGCTGTTTTAGACCCGATCATCAAAACATTTGCAGCACTGATTCATTGTATATTGCTGAATCAGGGATGACTATCCCTGCGAAGTCAACCGGGGGTTATTCGAGACTAATTTTTTTCATAATTTTTCATGCAGTTTCCTGTATTTGAACTGTATTGCCGCTCTCAGCATAACCAAAAAGTTTTTCAGCTTGTTTACATTTTTATAAAATTATTTGGTATTGAAAATTAGCGCTTGTGGTTTTTGCTCAATCAACAAAAGAATTTAAGTTGGATTTTAGAGATAGTTTTTTAGATTTACTGATGGAAAGCAGGGCTAATTGATGTGCTGAAATGGTGCTCAAAAATAAATAGAAAGGGTACTCATAAGAATAAATAGTAATCTCAAATTATGTACTGAAAAAGCACAACAACTATCAATCTGGCGAACTTTGGGGATCACAATGTTTGCTATTTCAATTTTCCAGTATATTTTAATGTATCCATCATGCAACTTGTCTGGCTGAGACAAAGTTCTAATTGAATAGAAACAACTCAATCGGTCCAAACTTTTTGTTCCGACTTTCGATACGAAAGTAACGGAATATTTGTGCTCGGGGTGGGTTTTTTTCTTCAGACAAATTTCGACTTTTTAACTAGCTATTTTTGACGGAATTGTAAGAAATCTTTCAAAAGATTTTGTTGTCTTGAGCTTAAATTTGAAAAGGTATTTAACCTGTGATTGTTTTTCTTGAATTTATGGGGGTTTAAAAATTGCCATTTTGGCGAATTTGGGACAATTAATGTGCGATTTGCGATAGATTTAATCCGCCTTAGAAATCGTTCCAAATTGGTTCAAAGCAGCTTATATGCAATAACTAATTTGTTAATAGGAGCAAAATCGATCACTTTGTTCTTAGTATGGCGTGTGGGGGGGATATTTTTACAAAAAAATCTCAGTTTTTTTTTAAAATCTATTTTTTTTTCATTATCTGGAAAAATGTCATGTTATTACTGCTCCATAGACCTTAAAAGGCAGTCTGAACATTCATGGCTGCGCCCTGATTCAAGCAGTCTTGTTCTTTTTTATTATTATTTCGCCAAATATTAGCTCAATTTTTGTTTAAAATGGCTTAAAAGTGTAGTCGGAGAATTCAATGCCCCGCCCTGATTTATAGCCGAAATTAATTGTTTTTTTCTTGTGGAGAAAACTTGTTACTAGCCAAGACCATTTTAATCCATGAGGAATTTGACTAACGTACGAAATGTTCACCTCATAACGGCTAGCCATCAGGATATTTTTTTGGTTAATTTTCTGGTAAGTGAGTGTTGCCTCACCCTCGCATGCTACGAGCACGGATAACGGGCCTCGAACTACTGCCGTTTCAACTGAGAGGCTGAGACAGTAACTTCTTCCTCATTGCTTTGTCATTGCTTGTTCAATCCTTTCAACTGTTTTCGCTGGGAATTTCAAAACACGAAGGTCAAGACCTCTGTAGAAAAGCCCACGACAAAGTTTGGACATCTACCTGTGGTACAACTCTGTGAATCGGGCGTTAATCAAGTGAAAGGAAATCGTTATAAGAAGTCGTTATAAAACCTAGAAACAACTCAATCGGTCCAAACTTTTTGTTCCGACTTTCGATACGAAAGTAACGGAATATTTGTGCTCGGGTGGGTTTTTTCCTTCAGACAAATTTCGACTTTTTAACTAGCTATTTTTGACGGAATTGTAAGAAATCTTTCAAAAGATTTTGTTGTCTTGAGCTTAAATTTGAAAAGGTATTTAACCTGTGATTGTTTTTCTTGAATTTATGGGGGGTTTAAAAATTGCCATTTTGGCCAATTTGGGACAATTAACGCGCGATATATTTCGCGCTATTAACGCGTAAGCGGAGAGTTAATCCGTCTTAGAAATTGTTCCGAATTGGTTGAAAGAAGCTTATTTGCCATAATTGATTTGTTACAAATAGCGAAATCTATCCTTTTGTACTTTATATGGCGTGTGGGGGGATGATTTAAAAAAAATTGAATGGGTAGTCGGAACATTCAGGGCTTCGCCCTGATACGAGCAGTCTTGTTTATGTTTCGATTTACGAAGAAAGTGAGGAATTTATATATAGTAGGGTAGTTTTTATTTTCAGACAAATTTCACAAAACGTCTTGCTCCCTCGGAGTATCGATCTATTGATCTACGATGGCCCAGCCGGGTGTGCTCGTGTCTATAGTCACGAGTTTGTCCAAACTGTTCGTTTTATGCTTTACTTGTGGCGAATTATCACGCACTACTAAATCGTTCCATTTTGAATTTAAACAATAAGCTAATTGGTTTGACTAGTTCCATACTCAAATCAAATTTGGTATTATTAGCTATGAAATTTCATAGTTACAAATATTTAGTTTATCAAATGTATTCAAGACCAATTAAAGGGCAGTCGGAACATTCATGGTTTTGCCCTGATACGAGAAGCCCTTATTGTTTTTAGTAGCGGAATATACCGCTTTGTGCTCAGCAACGTGGTTGGGAAATAGTATCAATTTTTATAAAGCAAAAAATTACTTTAAACACGCAAATGCGCAAACCGTATATTCAGGTTTTTGCCCTCAACGATCAGACTTTTTTGATGTTAGTTTAAATTCGAGATAATGGTAATTTTTTTTGATTGATATGCAAACACTGTAATCGAAAAAGAAATTGGTTTAAAATTTGGAAACTTAAAAGTAGAGCAATTTACAAATCATTTTTTCATTTATGATGAATTGGCAGGAGTAAACGCAGAATTTGATTTTTAAAAATCAGTCATCTAAAATTGGCTGAATCTTTAAAAACTACCATGACACAAGATGAAAAATACCTTGAAAAACTGTTTCAAAAGCTAAAGTTCTGATGGAAAACTGAAACAATTTAACTCCAAACACAGACATCTTCACGCTCCTTCTGCTGCTGCCTGGTCTCGTAATGCAAGAAGAAAGCATTTCTAAAGAAAAAGAATAATTTCATTTTGTTTGAAGTATTTTATTTACTGATGATGTTTTAGTGTGGCAGGTATGAATAAAAGTACCCGTCCTCTTTGTAAATTATCGGCCATCGGAGTTTGAAACATGAAATCGTAATTAATTTTCTAGTAAAGCTAAAAAGAGCAAGAGCAAGTTTCAATTTAGACCTTGACATTTACAAAACAAAACTGCACGATTGAATCCCGAATCACTTCAATCAATAAAACCAATATCGGTAACCTGGTCTGGTATACTCACAGTATTTTGAGTGAAAACAACATAAAAAAGTGTTCGGAAAAGCTAGAAAAAACTCCAATTATTCCCGACTTCGTTTGAAAAAACTTTGCCAAAAAATCTTCGAACTTTTCCTTGGTCGCCTAGGCAACAGAATATAGGTTAAATAACTTTAAGGCATTAAATTTGGTTCAGATTTACCGATGAAAAAACTGTAAGAAATTAGGACTTTAAACGAATCACTACAGTAAAAGCTTATCAAATTTTAAGATGGTGTTCAAAGATAAGCCCATAACTTTTCAGAAGTCTCATTCGCCATCTATAATTCAGAGTAGCGATTGCCTATCGCACAATAAGTTTAATAGCAACTTAAAAATTCATAGTTGCGACACTTATGGAAAATCAAACGAAACTGCTGTAAGTCTTATGCATAATTGAGCTAGTAAAAAGCAAAAACCAGATGTTTTCGGACTTTCCGTTTCCTACCTTCTTTCATGTTCTTCATGCTTTCCTCTGGCATCCGGTTCGAATGCCGATCATGTTCCGATTAAGATTTTTTGCAACAGACTTTTGCTCTCACTTGGATTGTGATTTCAAAGGTGTCTTTTATTCAAGTTTTATCCAGATGAACAGATTATTGTTTTCACTTATGACTGAATTTTCAGCTCATCTGCTGTTGCTGTTGTCTCTGTTGTTCGTGTTACCAATCGCTGAATCCGGTAATTTAGTCAACATGCAGTTCCAAAAATAATAAAAGCAAAACTATTTTACTATAAACGGAAAATGGGTAATTAAACAAGGATAGCTACATAATATTCCGACCACCATAATAAAAAAAACAGTTTCTTCTTTTTTGAATGGTGTCGTTTTGTATTCGTGGCGATGAAAGAAATTGAATAAAAACCTAAAACGTGGGCGTATTTGATGTTAATAGTAAATTAGGCACATTTGACATCCGCTATCCTCAAAAGTTAGAAGAAAAAATCAAAAACTTTTTATAGATTATGATTTTTTTCAATTTCCAAAACAAAAAAAAGTTTTGAACGAAGCTCTACATAAAATTAAATTTACTGATGCAAAACAGATTTTTAATGTTGAATTTGAATTATTAAAAAAGACAACTCGCTGGCTTTACTCGCTCAAAATAGAGAAAAGCTCAAAATTCTCTCAACCGGTTTTCTTCAAAATTGAGATAGTTTTGGAGAACTGTTTAAAATGACTCGAGTCACGGCTAAGAGGTTTTATTATGTTATATTAGTCCACATATTTTAATAATTATTTTTGATAACTGATTTTGCGTGAAAAAAAGCATGAGATAGTATGTAATGCAATTTTTGCTACTGAATCATCAAATTAAAATGGTGCAAATAACTACTAGGGTTTGTGATGTTAAAAATGAAAGCTAAATATAAAGTTTGGCTCAAACCCATTAAAATATCGCAGTTCTAGTAAAATTAGGAAAAAAAATATTGTAATCTGTTTTTTGACAAGTTTCTTTTGCTTAATTATCAATTTAACAATTCTTATTAGGCGGGCAGCCAAATATCTTCGATCTTGGGCAAAACGTGAAACTTTAGACTGCTGTTTAACATCAATGTGCAAACTTGTTCAAAATTTTTGATTATTTTGGTTTCGACTCTCAGCTTTTAACTTTATCCCCCACACAATGTGTTATGTGATCTAAAGGTGACGAAATCAAATGATTTTTTTTGTGTTTTTCCAGCATGGTACGTGCTTTTCTCAAAAAATTGGCCCATGATAAATGGGTTGTGAAAAATCAGTGACTACGTAAGACTTTGAGATTTTCAGATATAATCAGACTTTTTCTGAAAGTTTTTATCAGTTATACTATTGAAAAAAAAATTTAGGTCAAATAAAACTTTATTTGTCTACGCAGAATGATTTTGACTCCATGTAATGTTTTAAATTTTTTTATTATTAAAAATTCGTGCTGGTATGGAGAAGAAAAAACAAATAACAAAAGTATTAGGATTGTAATTAATTAAATATTGTAAAACATTCCAACTTCTTTTCAATATTTTTTCAAATTTTGTTCCATTGGCTAATCAGAATCAAAATCTTGTCAAAAAATGTTGGCAAATTGACTAAATTCCCATTTTTTGTTGTAATTCTTTTGAATTTTTCTGATCAATGCGAGTTCGTATCATAAAAAAAGTATTCAAATAAAAAAGCAACGAAGCCAACTTGAATGAGGGATAGTTTGAAAAGCAGAAGCAAAAGTTGTGCAGTTTTTTGTTGCAAACCTCAAAAATGATCTGGCTTAAACATGTATGAAAAGTGGAATATGTCAATTTGGTACAGCATTTCAATCAACGGGCTTTAGAGCAAAATTAAAGTGCTATTTATTTGTAAATTAAGTGAAAGCATCTTTAAATGGCTATAAAAAATTTTAACGGTGTTATTTGCTACGTCCAAATTGAGGTAAAACAAGAAGTGTTAATCTAAGAGGCCTTGTTGATTATTACAAAGCTAAGCAAATGTTTATTTTGAAACAAAAATTTACCAGAAAAACTATCGCAGTCGGAAAAAAAGCAGCCCATTCAAAGTGTTAGATACAGCTTGACGAAAAAAAAGAAAATTTTTAGTTAAAATGGCGCGCTTAGTGCCAGTTTTTGTATCTATATATTTACAAATAGCCATAAATTTTTGGCATAGAAGTTTAGAAAATATTTTTTATACGTAACATTTTTTTTAAAAATAAGTTAGATTTTATTAGAAAATACGGAGGTGAAAAAAGTTTTTTTACAAGATTGAACGATCATTTTTGAGTGCTCTCCATAGAAAAAAAAACAGAACTTTGTCTTGATACAAGCCAAAGTTTTTCTCTTCCTAATTGAGTGTTCCAAATGCTAATAACAAGGAATATCTATTTTATACAAAATTTTAATATTGACTGATCGTTAATGAAATTCAAACTTTTCTCATTTTTTATAATTTTTTGAGTCAGATCGGAACCAGACAAAAAACCGACCTGAAATTTGATTTAATTTTTTCATTCCAATTCCTTTTTTAACATGAAAACGAAAATATGAACTTCAAAGTTAGCTTGTTAGTAATGTCATGGTCACATAATATGGAAAAGTTTACATATTTTTTTCCTGCACTGCTGCTCAGTTTCAGACTTAATGTTGTTAGGAATCAAACCTCAATCATACAAATCAGCTAAAATTTATTCTTAGAACATTAAAGGACCAAATTTAATTCTCATAAGGCGATTTGTTTGGTTCGATTTTATTATCATTTCATAGTCAGTATCCATGAATTTACAAAATAATTGATTATAATCCCTTAAAAATGGATTAGAATCCTATTTTTTTATATCAATATAACCCATTTTAACCGATTATAATCGATTATAATTCATTAAAAATGGATTAAACTCATAATATTTTTTATCAGTATAATCCATTATAATAGATTAGAATCGATTTTATTTGGTTTTTTGAGAAGTTATTTAATTATGAAATTTGCATTTTTTTTAACGTTGTCTCATTTCCTGTTTAGTCAGTTGCTACGTATTAGGTTTCATAAAATTGTATTTTTCACATAAAATTTATGTAATAAAATTTTCTCTACTTTTTCTACTTTACGTTAACTCCATCACCTTTTTTAACGACCACCCTCCTCAATCCCCCTTTATTGGGTTTAAATGGAGGGTTTAAACTGGAGAGTGGAAGCAGTGGAACACCTTCCCCTAGTGTGAACACTCCCCCCCCCCCCCCCCAGCGCCAGTTTACACCCCCAACCTCCCTCCCAGTTTACCACAAACGCCATTCCTCCTCACAATTATTTTTTGGTCGAATTGGGGGAAGGGGGTTAATGATTGACACCCCCTTTTTTTACCTCCCCCCTTTAGTGTGGGTGGAGGTAAAAAAAATTGAGGGGTTACGTTGAGACATGGCATTTAGTAAGAGACATTGCATACATTTTGCAAATTGCTTGCAAAATTTGCAAAACATCTGCAAAATTAACCAAATTTAGTTCTAAAAATTAAGTGGATTATAACCGATTATAATGAATTATATTTAGATTTTTATTTTAAAAACAATCCGATATTTCGAAAATCTTTGAAACAAAATTCGATTTCAGTGGTAAAAATAATGGTCTATAATCGATTATAATGGATTATAATTGATTATTTCTTTTCAAAAATTTCAAATAATAATGGCAATATAAACAATTTCATGGTCTGAATTGTGCATCTGTAATGGATTATAATGGATTATTTTTGTCCCGGGAATCCATAGTAATTGATTAGAGTCCATGGGCGCTCGGTGCGGGGAGACACGTCTTCAAACATGTCGAAATTTGTCAGTGAAATCCACCGCAATCCACCGCAATCCACCTCAGGAATTCGACCCCCGTACCGATTCAAAGGGTCCCTCCTTTGAACTAATTTGAGATATCCAATTTCGGCTGACGGACCCTAAAATTTTTCTAAAGGCGCCTAGCCTTGGGCGCCAATTTTTACTTATTTTAAGGGGGGGGCGCCAAAAAAACGCAATTTTTTTGTTTAAAAATGTCCGAAAAGTGCCCAAAAACGCCTTTTTGGCCTATTTTTTTTCGAAAATTTTGCCTGCGGCGCTGAAATTTTTACCAAACTAGGGACTATTTACTGCTTTTGAGAGCTCTCGCGAAAGCAATTTGAACGACCTGAAAAAAAACTCGAATACTTTTGAAAATCCGCAAACCCCCCCCCCCCCCCCCCCCCCTCTCGAGAAAATCTTAGATCCGCCCCTGCAGTCATCTATAAAAATTTGCCGAGATCTTGAATAATTTAAGCAATCAAGATACTAAAGAATCTTTTAAATACGTTCGATTTTTTATAAGCTTTTAAACTGTCCAAAACATAGTTACTTTCTCATATCTGTATGACGGTTCTGCTCTCATCAAGTGAATTCGAATATTTGCTTAAGGATCAGAAGAATATTCAAGATTTTTCATGGTTTTTCGAAGATTCTGAAAGATATTTCTGTTTATAAAAAAAACATCATTTTGCAAAATTTACATATGCACACTTTATTTACAATATAAGAAGCACCAACAAAAAAGTTATTTATTACTGACAGGACCATACACTGATATTTACATATAATTTCTCTTTTCGTGAGATTGAAACAGTTTTGACTGGAAAGAAACGCAACGCCTTATTCATAAAACTCGAAAGTTTTGCTCACAACATTCGATTTTATTTTTAAAATGCGGATTCCGCATACAAACTGCCGGTTCTGCGATGTTTAATCATTTGTTCATGGATTCAAACTAATTTTGATTTGTTTTCCGTAAACTTGGCCTCGTTAGCATGCATTTGGAGTGTTATTTAGTCTAAGCCATTTGTCTCTGGAATCAACAAAAAGCTCATGGAAAACAGTTTTCTTGCGGAATCACGAAAGAATTCTTTCCAGGTTGTTGCGGAATCCGTTTACAATTCACAAAATACGCGCAGTCATTTCAGTTAGTCGCCTGTCGCCGCATTGCTGAAACTTTTCAAAATAGAAAAATATCCACACCATATTCCTAAAATTTAATTTCAAGACTATTATTCACAATTATTAACAAGCATCCACCGAAAGTCGCTCCGTAATTCGGCATTTTAATTTACTTTGATGGGTTTCATACGTTTCGAAATGAGGAGTTGCGATTTGATTTTAATTCGATCATGAAAATAATCTGGTTTCATAGCTGCTGAGGGATTTTGTTAAGAACAAGTAGACCTAATTGTAACAGAATCTGAACTGCACGTGTGATGATACAGTGACGCCACCACAAATTGACCTCGCGCTGTTCCGAGATGAATGCCCTTGTTTGAGAACATACGGAGATGAGCCTATTTTTGACTACTTCGCCTACGACCTGGACTCCTGTAATGTCTACTGCATTGGATCACTGGAATGCGAGGCTATCAGCTACTGTGTTAGTTTTAGTGCTAAATATTCTACCAAGAGTGAATAACTAAAAATTACCCTGCTTTTTGATAGACATAAGAGAGATAGCATTTGATCGGAGAGGTTTCCAAAAACAACAAGTCTCTATTTATCAACATTTTCCCTTGCGGTTGCACATAATGTTTTGATACCAGTTAAGTTTTTTGCAAATATGGCAGAAAAAAAAGTTTTTCAAAATATTTTCCCAAAAAGCACCAATCTTTTTCCCAAAAAACAAATAAATTTTAAAATTCTAATTGTGCATTCAGTAAAAATGACTGGAATGTCGTAAAATAGAAACGAATAGTGGTTTAGAATTCAGTTCAGAGAGGAATTCTCATTGCAAATTTGACCTTAATATGCTCGTGTGCATCTTGCATCTTGAAAATAGCTTTCAACGCTGAATCTATTCAAGAACCTCCAACCACTCATTATCGTGAATTATAACTTTTCGAATTTCAAAATTACTTGAAGATGCTCTGTCAATCAACTTTTATTATGACGAATCTAGCCTCCAATTTTTTTTCCCTTTCAAGAATATGTTTGAATCCATATATCATAATAGTAGCACAACATTATTGTATGCCAATCACGAATGAAGAACATGGCATCCAAAAATCTTATTTGCGTGCAAAAATCCCTTGACATTCAAGAATCTTATGATGGTGCTCGCCTCTCTGGCATCTTAAAACGTGGAAATCTGGGAATTTATTTTTAAAATTAAGTTTTCATCCACCTCAACTGGATTGAGTTTTCACATGTCACTTTGGACTTTAAGGTCATATTTGGGCATGATCTAATAAACATGATAAACTGTTGCAGTATGAAACAAGATCGTGCCGAGGTTATGACAAGTATGCAGTCGGCTTTGTTCCGGAAGCCATCAGCAACTGGGACTGTCTCGGGAACCCGTCGGAGTCCGCAACCTCTGGAAGGAGGTGGTACTGGATCAAGGAGGTGGAGGATGGGGAGACGATTGACTGTCAAGATCTATATGAGAGGGGTGGAAGCACTCGTGTGTACTTTGTTTTTTGAAAATGATTCACAAATACAATTCCCCACTTCACATAATCAGCAAAGTTATAGTAAAACTAGTCGTTTTCAAGTTATGAGAGCCAAATGTGTTTGCAATCGGATATTTGTTTGGATGACAATTTCTCAAAGCATCAGAATTATTACCAAAAATATTAAAACAAAAGTTTGCACATTGTATGAAAAAAGGCGAAAACAGCTTTCAAATAAAAACCCCTTAAATTTGATCAAAATCTGACTTTATCGTGACTAATGAACAGAAAAGACCCTAAGACCGCAACCATGAAGTTGTCACATTTTAGCACGGCAATATGTGAGAACTTATTTGAGAAGAACATCAAAAGTTGGCAAGTCATCCGTCTCTTATCTAGTACCTGACAACGAAAAAATTGCCCTAGAAAAAATTGATATAGACATCAAAACTCACGAAATCATCCCAATTTCAGCAGAGACAAAAATAATGCTTCTAAATTGAATAAAAATTGTAAAAGAATTCACCCAAAATAGTTCGACTGAGAAAAACTCGGAAAATGTTTTAAAAACTTCATCGAATTGCTTACATAGAAATGGAAACTCTGAAATTTCAGGCCAATGAGCTTGAATTACTATAAAAATTTGTTGAATTATACAAGGGATATTTAATACTCTCAATTAGTTCACTATTTAGTTTGAACAATAACTTTTTCACAAAGTTATGTTAGATTACAAGAAAACTGGAACTATCATTTCGACCGTTAACTCGAAAAGTTTGGTCAAAAAGTTAAGAGCATTTGTTAAATTCAATACTTAAACCATCAATCATCTGTTAAAAAATCCATTCTCTAGTGTTTGTTTTTTGTTGTGGCTTTCAAAAAATTTAACGGAAAAAAAGTTATTGTGGTAGTTTTTTCTTCAAATCAACTATGGTTTTGCAATAAAATTTTCGCCAGATTTGATTTCTTGTTTGCTATAGTACAAAATAATTTCATGTCTGATGCTTTTTGCAAAATTGTAAGGGTTCCATGAATTGATATTTTCAATTTGGCTACTTTGAAATAACTAGTGGCTTAAAGCTGGTTTTTCTCATATCGCAAAAACTTTGAAAACTTCGATTTTTCGGTTTACAAAGAACAAATAATTTTAATTCTCAAAAACAAACAAAAAATCAAGCCGCACTCATTTGTTTCAAAAGTATCGGGGTTTGGAATTGGCCAATGGGGTCAGTATTTTGAAAACATATTAGTGCAAATTTCTTAATTTTTGACTCTACTCATGGCGCTCTCCAGGCTATTAAAAACATTAGCCCCTTTTTGATAACATTTTTGTGCAAGTGTAGGTTATGCTTTGCCGGGGCCTGTAATCGATATGAGCCATATTTATATATAGACGACGAAAGTGTGTAGACAATGAAATGAACCAATTGAAATAAAACATTTAATTGTTTCACACATTGCGCTACGAAGGGTCGACTAAATCATTTAGAATAGGAAATTGTGTTTAATTGCAGAAATTCAAAAAACAAAAATTTTTAGAAAATTTCGGTGATTCAAAAGCGCTCGGAAAAGGGCAGACGGGAACTAGACGTAAATGCTTCTGAATAAAAAATCAATTGGAATCCTCCGGGTCGAAACTTTTGCTGAAATTTTTCCATAAAAAGGGGCTGAATGAGTCCAATTTTTAGTACGATTTATCTCCTAGTTGTCACTCATAAATTGGACCCAATGGTACCTAATAAGGAGCCCAATGTTTCAAAAAATAGGGCTCATTCATCTTCTTCCATGGCAAAGCAAAGACAAAAAATTTAGCTCATTCAGCCCCTTTTGTACCAAAACAGTTCTCCCTTCAGGAACTCCAACCGGCTCCTTGAGCAACGAAGGCCTTTGTACCACCTATGTTTTACCAACCCTTTTGGCCAAAAACGTTGACCAAAAATTGAGTTTTTTTGGCGCGCGCTCCACCCTCAAAATTAGTATAAATTGGCCCCAACGCGCCTTTAGAAAATTTTAGGGTCCGTCACCAAAAATGGATATCTCAGAATAGTACAAAGGGGGGACCCTTTGGGTCGGCAGGGGGTCGAATCCTTAAGGCAGGGTGGGGGCGTCCTTTCCCATGCCCCCTCTAAATCCGCCTCTGTTATCAAGGAAAATCAAAACAAATCAGTCGGGCAGTTGGAAATGGCAGAGCAAAATGAAAGTGCAGTACGACCTTTAAGCAGTTTTTAAGAACTGCCGGCAAATTACTAGGATATTGTGATTTTTTTAGAATGTTTTGATAGATCTGGCACAGACATCTGCGAAAACAAACTTATTTTACTCTTCAGAGCATAGAAAACACTGAAGAAAAAAAGCTTTGTTTTTGCAGCATAAAGAATAAATAAAGATAAAGCATTAAAGAAGATCTTTGAAGCGAAAAAAAAAACGTTCGCCGAAAAATGGTTACTCAGAATTGTTTGAAGGTAAATTAACTTTACACAAAAAATTCAAAAAAATATTTTTTAATGTGGTAAAAATCTAACTTATCAATCAGCTCTTGCTGAGCAGACAAATTTTGTAACTAAAAGTATGGTTTTGATTTTTGTAATTTTTTTGTTTTGAATTTTTTGGATTTTTTGTTTTAATTGTTTGTTTTTCGTTTGAATTTTTTTGTTTAGATTTTGAGTTTCTGAAATTTTGAATTTCATTGTCTGAATTTTTTGATTTGATCAAATTTTATTCGAATAAATTTGAGTCGTATTTCAGCTAATGTTTTTTCTGCACGTCAAATATAATTGGTTTGAATCCATCATAAGATTTTCAAAACAATTTTTGAAAATTTTGATGATATTTTTCTTCAAGTTTACCAAAATAATTGACATTCCCAGCGCTCTCACAACAGCGAAAAATTAGTATAAAATGGCGCAGATGCCTCTCTTAGTAAATGTTTACGGTCAGTCGGCCGAGAATGGATGTCGTAAAAAAGTACTGCCCGGTAAAATAGAATGAATAGAACGTAAAATAATTTGTATGTAGCCAAAGTTAAGTGAGACTCATGTAATATCTTGGTTTAGAGCTCTAATAATTTGTAAATACATTATTAGAGCTCTAATAATGTTGAGGAAAAAGGAAAAAAGTTTCAAGAAAATTCCAACAAAAATTGCAAAATCTCGAATTGCAGTTATCTCAGTTTTCGCAAGTTTGCTGAAGGTCAATTTTTTTTCAGCGGCAGCTAACAGCTATGAATTGATCACAGTGCGTGGCTATCCTGTTCACGTGTACTGTGCGTGGCCAGATGCAGAGAACACAGAAGCGAGGACCTTCTTGAAACTACGCACAGACGCCCCCTCCAGTTTCAGTGTATGGGGAGGGGTCAAACCGGGCATTAAAGCGGACATAGATTCATGGTCTGATCAGATTAGATAGTCTATAGACAACCATTCCCCTTGCTCAATCTTTTCGCTCTGACATTTTCAGCTCATTAATCAGCAAAAATGCCTCCTTTTAAACATTTCAAAGCATCTATACAAATAGTAGATTGAAAACAAAAGATTTTTGATGACGCTTCAAACAGGAAATATTCAACAAGAAAATCCAATTTTGTGGATTTAGATAAAAATATAAAATTCTTTTTACTAAGCGCTCATTGCTGGTTGAATGCTTAGTAATTTTATCCTAAAATATAAGTCTCACCTTAGATCGTCAAATTGTCTTGACAAAAAGTAGAGTAGAAACAATAGTTAGAAAAGGTATGAATTAATTAGTTGGTTAAATACAGAGCACTGGGTTATTAGATTATATAAATGAATCGAACAGCTTAAAGAAATATACCTATGAGGGGAGGTTGAGCTAATCTTATTTTGTTCATCAATATTTTATCTTCTTACTTAGGTCGGTGGCTGATTAGTATGTATGGTTGCCCTTGATTTTTGTCCAAGACAGCACTTCTGGTTGGGTCGTCTGAATCGTCTTGCCGTAGTCCTTTGGGTACTTGTAGTCCAGACTTCCTCGGGTGTGGTTATCTCGAGTATCTCGATTTATAATTTTTCGAACTTAAAATGAGAATTTATTCTCTTTTTATAAGTGAAAAGGGCTAGATTAATTTTATTGTTAGGGCAGAAAAGAAAAATTATTTATTTTTAAAAGATCTGACTGAAGAGATCTGACTTGCTGCTTACTGAGCAAAATGAAACACTGAAGATTTCAGGCCAGTCCTTTTGCTCGTAAGCATAAACCGGCGGCTGATTCAATCTTTAATTATTCAGGTTTCACCTGCTCCTTTGTTCTCCCTTTCTTATAAGGGAATTTTCAACTAGTTTTTATTTGGTTTGTCAAATCAAATATCTTTAACTTATTAGTCCCCTTTGATAAAAACCGCAGCCTTCAGTTTGTCTTATTAAAAATTCATATTAGTCCCTCTGATGCATCATATTGCAGGTGCACCTCTGCTTAATCAAAGCAAGGAGAATTTCAGTGCAGCCGGCAAGACTGCTAAAAATTTATCCAGTTTGTTTCAAGTTAAGTTAAAAGGGACGTATTAATAATCGCCGCCCTTTTAAAATATTGAGCATGAAAAAATGAGAAAAATTGGACAAGTATTTAAAAAGGAGTGGATTTTCGAAACAAGATTTTATAGTCCTAATAAGAGTAAATCAGTCAATGACTGATTTAGTGAAAAGAGGCTTTAATTTAAATGGCACGCTCCAATTTAGAATTAGGTCGTTAAATAAACAATTAAGACAATGGTCTTTTGTCTGTGTAGTATTTTCAATACTACATCTTCTAACGTTTTTAATGCAGAAGATAATGCCAGATTCATTAAAACACCTAATTTTGAAGGCCATCTCGGCTTGAAAGAATCTGCAAACCACTGAAATTGGCAAATTACGAAGTATTAAACAAACAACGAACTCTAAAAACCAATATTATATGTTCTAATTTGATATGAAACTTTTAAAACCTTCAATTAAAAATTTCTATTTATGTCTAATGTCTATGTTCTGATGTTGCCTGATATGGATCTGAACAAAATTTCAACTAGGTATCCCTATGGCAGAGCAAGACGGGACTATCAGAAAGTGCGACTACGTGTTGACAAATGTTTGTTGGCTGCAAATATTCAAGATCTTTCTTATACAACTCTAGCCAACTGGAGCGACGTTACCGTCCCAAACGATTTTTATTTTCTGTGTAAGTCATCTTTCGTTCTATCAATTATCGTAAGATCAGATATGTTTTTTTGGGTGTATAGCGAACTTGAAAAGATTGAAGAAAAAAAAGTCGACCAATTCTTCAACCTACGCCCCCCCCCCCCTTGTTGAAAAATTCCTGCTCACAGCACTGGTTATGGTGCTGATATGTGGACACTGTGCAGATATCAGACAAAAATATTCATGGCATATCATAATATCTGATAAACCAGATCGGTCGAGCAATACAACATAGTACTTGTTTCAGTCTTCCCATCTTTTAATTCCTGAAAAAACTTCTTAAGACCAAAAAATCAGTAGCATTTGACTCAGCAACTTTTAGCACAACAGTGTTCCTTTTATATCAAAAACTTTGGTGATTGAAATATTTTTCAAATAATTTCTAGTTTTTCTTGCCTAATACCTTTGATTTTGTTCTTGATTCGTAGTCTGCTCATTCCGTCCGTAAGCTCTTGAATGTCGTCCTGTTCTTCCTGTCTGTGTCTGTTTTTTACATGGTTCGGAAAAGCAGTTATTCCCTCAACCGGGATGGTGACTTGCGTGCCTCCTGCCTTGAGGATGTAGCCGTGTTCCTCCCTCTTCTTTAATTTCCAGAAGTTGGTTTCGTTCTTTATAACCATTTCTTGCCGGGTTATGAACTCGATAGGCATCATTGCCTTTTCCATTGTCGTTGAGTTGACAACTTCAATAAACGATGGCAGTTTCCATCTGTTATAATTTTGCTTTATTGAGTACTTCAAACTCGTTATAAAATTTGGATTTTCCGTACCCAATTTGGCTTCTCTGCACTTCTGCAGTTCCAATCTTTGAGTCAAACTGGGAAAATTCCGAGGGTTCTTATTTAACCCGTCGTCCATTGACAAAGATTGTACTGCTACAGGTTTTCGTTGTTTTTTCCTGAGAGGCAGCTTTCTTTTAAACTCCTCTGGTGCTGGGTCAGCTTTTTGGCAGTTCCAATTCAAAATTGGGTCATATTCCATTTTGCTAAACATCAATGTAAAATAAATAAATACTCAAAATTCCGAATTACATTCGGATACTAAGGCTAATTATCAAATGTTTGAACAATGAAGGACAAAGTGTAAAATTGTATATGTGTAAAAGGTGGAAAATATAATCTTGTGGTTTCACACAAACCCACCACGGAAAACAAATGAAGAAAAACGATCATGGTGTTTATTAACCACAGGAATAAAGCACTTTACAACACTGAGTTAAGCCAGATTTTAAACTTATGTAGTTAAAGCAAAATTGGAAATTTGGGCATTAATTAACCCCTAATCTTAAATGTATGTCCGCCTGGGGTCATCCACAGGCTTACCATGGGTTCCTCAATAAATTTTACAGCTATAAACTTTGAGTAATGAATTACTAGATGCAAATATTAACAAATAGAAAATTTTAAAATTACTAAGGCAGGTATAAGCAAATATAATAGTTCATATGACAGCATTTTTGTCATAACCAGGAATTTTTGTTTCATTTTTTGATAAGAATGAGAAAAGATTTGAAATAGTGTCAAATCAAAATGAAATATCAAAAAAGAACATAGAAAAGACAAATTGTAAACTGTATAATATTCAAAAAGATAAGTGGATTAGTTTCTCTTCGGTTTTAATCCCCTTTACCAATCCATGTTCACATCTTCAGTACAGAAAAGTTGTGCGGAACTTTATGATGCAAAAATTTAACTTAAGCAATCTTAATGATGATGCGGTGCAATTTTCAAAGTGTTTCTTCTGACAGTTTGTTGTATTTAAGGGTTTAAATGCCTGCGTGTTGTGGATTCAAAACTACCGAATTAGTAATGTGGCCAAATTGTGAGGAGCGAATCATAAGAGTCTCAAAGGCTGCATACAGCCACCAACAAGCATTTGCGTTGTTGAAAGAATATGGTACCATAATTTTAAAAAAGGCTACTTGAAGCCACCAACAAATGCTGGCATAAATCTGCGGCGGGTCGGGTCGAAAAACGTTTGTTCGCCCATTTTATGACAAAGAACATTGATGAAAATTTTACTCAATGTGTTGAGAAGAAAGGAGGTGATATTTCCCTTTTTGATGAATTTCTTCTAGTTTGCATTTTGTAACTTGAAAACTACAAAGATAATAATTAATGTCATTGGTCCCTACTTGGGCCCTAAGAGGAATCCGATGGTTGAAATTAACTTCGCAGAATGAGTTTGTTACAATTTTACATTGGCTAGTTCTTTCATCAACGGTTTCAATCTATTAATTCTCCTTATTGTATGTAGGGTAATTTGACATTCCCTTAAGAGTAATACTGAATTTTCACTTAATAAAACCGCCTGAAAATGAAACATTTATAGACTCGTAAAACTGTAATATTTGAAACTCCTGGCCTTTTGCAGCTTTTTTGCAAATATGTTGAAGTCAAAAAACTTTTTTTGTCTGAGCCATTGGGTTCCGATTCCTCTATCTTTATTTGATTTTGAGGATGGTCCAAAATTGTTAGCGTACTTGACTGTTTTCGATCTCGGTTAAGAATTAAATCCGTGTTCATGCTTTTTGGCATATACTTTTGGGTGTCATACAGAACCGCTTTTCATTGTAGTATATTTGTAGGATAATACTCGTTATCTTTTTTTTAGTAAGATTAAATTAGATTTACTGCTCAGTATACAAAACGTTAGGTAAATTTCACAAACTTAAAGCGTTATAAAAGCTTTAATGAAAACTTCACATTTATAAAAATTTTAAAGGGAAGAAATGGGTTTATTTTATTTCTATGTTTTCAAATGTTTGACCTATTACACCTTTGTTTATGTCTACTTTTGATTCCCTGGAATTTTTTAGTACGATAGGCATTGACTTAATTTCATTCCTACAATAAGTGCTTTTTGCATTAATGCCTTTTTGTTCTAAAGACTTATCAATTCTAAACGATGTTCCTACTTTGAAAACTATGCCTGCTGGAGAAATTGAAATTACGCGGGATGATTTTGGTGCAATAGTTATATTTTTATCAACAAATACATTTTGATAAAAGCTTAGATATGGATAACTTTTGCTTCTTATAATACTGATAGGAACTGTTATATCTGGGTATTTTTTTAATTCTAAATTTAAGTTTGGAAAGTTTATTGATTTAAAGTTTTGAGAAATGAAATCCATTCCTAAAATATTTAGATCGCATCCGTTCTTGGCTGAAATCCATGCTTTGATTTTTACCGGATTATCAGTGTTTGTACCAAAAGTTGAGTCAAAATTAGTATAACCTATAAGTTTAAGTTTTTCTCCATTAACAGCAACTGTATTTGATCTAGATTTATTCAGCTGTAGAGGCTGTATTTTACAATATTGTTCATAACTGTCAAAATTAATAAGAGAACATGTTGCTCCAGTGTCTAGTAGAAATTGGGTTTCCAGACCGTTATTTTTATTTTTGTCTCCAACGGGATGTTGGTATAAATTAATATATAATTGTATTTTTGGTTCGGACGGAGACTGATCTAGTTTAAATTAACAAGTTCACACTCATTATCGGTATAGTCTCCTGGAATTTCATCATCACTAAAAATGTGGATCTGGTAAGGTGAATGACAATCGTTATTTTCGTTGAAGGATTTTTCTTTGTTCGAACTGTCACGCGATTGAGAACTTTCCTTGAAATTTGACAAATGCCTGAATTCTTTTTGGGGATTTATGTCATTGAATTTGTTGTCTACTCTTGACCTATTCTTACTATAGTTATGGTAACTTCTGTTTGAATTCTCTCTTAATTGAAGCGAGTCATAATTTTGCTCCTGTTGATCATTATATTTAAAGCAATGTCTTATCGTATGGCCTGACATGCAACACCAGTTGCAAAACATTGGGTTGTTTTGTTTGTTTCTATGCTCATGTGGATTATAAGCTGCGTTTATTTTATGATCTTTCATTAGTCCTGCTAGCTCCTTAAGCTGATCCTTTTTTCCTTCGATCTCCAACTTATTATCAACACTACTTGAAGCTGTTCCAGTAAACTCACTACTTACTGCAAAACTTAAGTCTTTTGTTGCAATATGATTTTTTAATTGTTGCCATGTTGCGGGTGGATTCTCAATTAAGAATTGATGAGCCTTTTGCTTCAAGCCTGGCGGGCTTAAGCCGCGTACAAAGTATTCCATTTTCTTTGCTGTTCTTTGATCATCATTAAAAGTTGGATTAGGCTATCCACGGTCTACTGCGGTGCTTAATCTATATATGTAGCTTTTAATGAATTCATCAGGTTGTCTTTTTATGTTTTCTGCTTCTATTCGTCTCCTATTTTTATCTTTATCATCAGTGAATCTATCTATGAATTGATCTCTTATATCATTCCAAGGTAAGTTTGCTGCTAATCCCTGATACCATTGAGCGGCTGGTCCTCTTAATATTGAACCAAATAATGCTCTTTGTCTGTTATCATATGCGTCTTGTTCGTCACCTGCGTCTCCTGGTCTATGCTATCTTTTTCTCTACTATATCAAGAAAATCTCTTGCATCTTCATTCGGATCTAAGCCGGTAAACTTTTCGAGAGCTAAATCTGGGTATGCTACTACGTTTGCCATCTTTGTTTAATTCACTCAATGTTTTGTTAACAATATATAAAGGGTTTGAATGTGTTGTGTACTGATCAATTGATCGGACTAAAATAATTGTATTTAAGTTACAATGAAGTTTGCTGAGTTCAATGAATACGAATTTTTGTTAGATAGATCAATAGTGCTATGGGGCTGATTAAGCTTTTTTAAGATGGAAGTTATCACTGGGGTATTGCTGCTGGAAAGAATGGTTAATTCGTGAATATTTTTGTGTGGGTGTTTGGACAAAATTGTGATTTGATCTTTTTGGATATTGGTGATATACCAAATAATTTTTGTGGATTTATTTCTTAATTTTAGTTTTAAATTAAATGCTGTTGTATTTACTTGATAAAAGTTGGTCATAGCATTTTACATCATTTTAGGGACATAAATATTTATTTAGGGAATGATAAACAATATAAAGAATATTTAATTTTTTCTAATCAATTTGGAATGAACTTGTTATGTTTTTAGTTTTTGTTAAGGAAAAATTTGTGTTTTTTTAAAAAAATTGATTAAAATGCACGTAGTTTTGTGCTTAGGTATATTATGATATCAAAAAGCAATCGGGAGTGAAGCAATTAATCGTTCTTGCGGTATATAAATTACATTATTTGGTATTTTTATT